TGGGGTATTATGATCCCAGAACTCATTCCTGCCCAGGGCGGGGGGTCGGCCTTGATGATCAGTTCAGGTCCCTTCCAACCCTAGAAACTGAAACCTGACTTGGGGACTGCTCGTTAAGAGCTTGTTGATGGACCTTAGTCTTCTGAATGTTAAGCGTGAGTTGCATTTTGTTGTATGCCTCAGCAAAGATGTCAGTGATTTCCTGAAGGTCTGCTTCTGAGTGAGCGCAGACTACATCATTACCAGCATGCTGGAGGTCAATGATCGAGGTCAGGGTGGTCTGAGTTTTGTCTCTGAGTCAACTGAGATTTAAATGGCTTACTGTCCATTTGGTAGTTTAACTTCATTCTGACTAGAAGCTTGTTGATGGTCAGATATAGGATTGCGATAAGGAATATCAGGACTGTTGCAGCCTTGCTTAACTCCCATCTTGACCTCAAAGGGACTTGTGATAGATTTGTTACTGAAAACCACCACTCACATACTGTCATAGAGTAGGTGAAGAACGGTGATGAATTTTGATGGGTATCCGTAGCTCAGAAGGATCCTCCACAGTGCTTCTCAGTTAACAGTTGAAAGCTTTTGTGGGGTCAAAGAAGGCCATGCAGACGGGTTTGTTCCTGGTATTTTTCCTGCAGCTGGTGAGTAGAGAAGATCATGCCAGATGTACCTCTTGATGTCCTAAATGCACACTGATATTCTGGAAGGAGCACTTCAGTAAGTGGAACAAGATGGTTCAGATAGGTTTTGCACTGATCTTTCCTGTGATGGAACTCTGCCAGGCAGCAAAACAGTTGTGGGAAAACTGAAAAATCCATGGGTTTCTCTGATAAAATGAGAAGTCTGCATTTTCCTGTGCTAAAAGCTAAAATCTGCAGTTTACTTCATTTTTTTTTCCAGGGGAAACAGAAAACACAGATTCCTGCTGATTTACATTCTGTCATGGCAGTGTAATAGATGCACTTTTCATCTCTACACATTGGCATGTTCAGAAGCTGCTAGTAATCAAGCTGTCAGCCTATCGATGCAGTATAGATTGAGTTAAAAATTCTTACCATTAAAACAAAGGAGCAGGTTGGTGAGGGAGCTGACCTGTTACCTGCATCAATTAAAAAAAAATTAGCCTGTAGTAGAGGATATTAATCTTTTAGATTAATATGACTGGAAGAAGCCACTCTTCTAATGGAAATACCTGATGATACATAAGAACTTATTTTTGTTGTCTGGAATTTGAGGAACATATCAAGGAATATTGAGACCTTGAAAGCTATAGGGATAACTGTTTGTCCTACCCTGGCATATCTTTGGCACTTTTAAATTTCTCCTTTTCTGAAAAATTCTCAAGCATCAGCAGCTGGGAGTAGGAAAAATTCAGGTAAATACTACAAGATACAGAGGCTTGTTAACAGGTGGTTCCCATGCTCATCTTTGTCCCTCTCCTGAATAGTGTTTTATGAATAGAGCACTAGGGACTTGCACCAATAACTTTACTGGAGCTTAAAATCCAGGCTTCCCAGAACAAAAATACCAAGCGTTATATTCTTAAGTCTACTGATGCTGCTTTCTGTGTTGATGGTAGTGAGACCTGTAATCCAAAGTTTTTTAATTTATGATTTTTTAAAAAACTTCTTAGTAATTGGCTCAAACTATTAATGGGAATCACAAGCATGTTCATAATTTTTTCTGGCTAGATTTTGTGTTGCATTATACAAGGTTGGGGGTGCTGGAGAAAAGCCAGAGAAAGGTATCAGCTGAAGTGAAAGCTATTATGTTTTGTCCAGTACTCTCAAGAAATTGGTCATTTCGTCCCCTTTCACAGGAAAGATTTTTCTTCTGCACTTTCTCCCATAGGAAAGAGAAGGACTGCCAGCTTATTTTGCTGTGGTTGCTGTGTGGCATAGAGGGTGAAAGGTGGGTTTTTCTCTTTGACCATAGGGGACTGCACTGGGAGCAGTGGCCTCAAGGGGCAGCAGGGAAATCTTAGGCTGGAGGTTAAAAGGAACTTTATGTTTATGAGGATGGTGAAAGATTGAAACAGGCTACCTAGAGAAATGGTGGGATCTTCATCCTTAGAAACTTTGAAGAGCAGTTTGGACAGGAACATTTGGCTGGAATATTTTAGTTGGGAGTGATCCTGCCTTGAGTAGATGCTGAACTAGATGACATGGTCCCTTCTGGCACTGCTTTCCTGTGTT